AAGTTTTTGGCAAAGGGGCTGAAGGGGGTGGGGTGGGGGGGGTGGGAAATTATTCGTTAACCCGAGTGTTGTGACGCTGGTGCGTGTAGGGCTTTGAGTGAGATTCCCAGCTGCGTGAGTAGGAAGAGTATTTGTTTCCTCAGTCGAGTCACAGAAATGGTAAATGTTTGACTGGGGGGGTGGTGAGAGACTTACCTGTTGTGTTAAAATATTTTGTAACTGCAACACATATTTTAATTTTTCTTAACCTGTCTACCAAGACTTTGTCATACTTACGACAGTTTTCTACGTATCATAAAGACCTAAAGGAGTGTTCTTAATGCTTGACATTCGACTATTACTGGATCTTACAAGGGAAAGATGGCACAAAATTGGATGCAAGTAAATCTTGCTTTAAATACAAATGGACCTTTCTGATGAGGAAGATTTAAGGAAATAACCTGTCTTAAAATACTTAAAAATATGCTTCCTGGTCTTGTTCCATAAACTGTTTGGCTTTATTCCTGCAACTGGATTTGTGCTGGAAGACCCTGGGTCCATGGGGATGCAGTATGCTTAGCCAAGACATTAGACATCAGGATTGGGCATTTGTGCCCTTGTTGTACCCTTGTTGATGGACAGATTCCTTACTTTGACACTTTATGCATATTTGGAAATTTTCTTCTCCCAAGTATATTTGTTTCATTCTGTCAGAAATAGTCATTACTGTGAAAATCTTGAAAGGTGAGAATATTTACTTCAAGATGATCTTTTTCTTTAGGGACAGTGTAACTTGCCACTAGAGACAACAAAAAGTAAAAGCATGCCCCACTGGCTCGGTGGCTGTAACTGAGAAAGTTGTTCAGGCTAGAGGATTTTCTATACAGACAGTAGTAGCTCTTAGTTCTGGAGAGTCATTCATCTCCCACTGTGACTGTGTCGTATCTAAGAATTCAAGCAGATTTCAGAGGTCTGTCACCTCCAGTGTTTTCATACAAACCTGCCTCCTGAGGGGCTGAACACAAATCTAAAAAAAAGCACCTTCAGTGGAAGGATGTAATTGACTCTCCTCATTCCTGATGGCCTTTATTTTGTGCATTCTCTACTCTCATATGGAGGTTCCTGTTAATTTCTTCAAAAATGCTTTTCAAGCATTAGTTTGAAAAATGTCTACTGGCACAGTGGTGGCAGCTATCCCTTCAGCTGGACTGTTGGAACTGTTTGTGGCGTGGGTCAGTTGGTGAACTGCTTCGGAGCAAGGTTAAAAATAACCGAAGTTGCTTATAATTAGGCTGCTGGTGAAAAAGGTGTTTATTAAACTGTTCTGACATTAACGTAACCATTGTTAGATGCCCTCCATCTACCTTTATAGCTCTGAGTTTCTTGGATCAAAGGTAGCCAAAAGCTTAAAATAATACTTTGTTTATATACCCCATCCCAAGTGCCTTTCCTTCCTCTTTGATGATGATGGTGTGGTTGGTTTGGAGCTTTTTGAAGACAGAGAGCACTGGCTTTTTTTAGATTGTAAGATTTCAGCACAGGGTGTTTGTCTTCATGTGTGTTTATATAGTATCTAAAATAGTATGGCCGTGGTCCTAACTGGGGGTTTATGGGTAATGCTTTGTTTAAGAATTTGAGCGCTCATTCCTTCCTCCAAAGTATTTCTTATTCTGGGAAGTTTCTCTAGTTTCAGTGTAGAATACATTACTTCACAGTGTCAAATATCCTTGAGTTAGCTTTTGTTGTTGTTTTTCTGTTCATTATCATGCTTTACCTATCTACTTATTTCCTCCTTCCTCTTTTTTTCCTCTCAGTGTAATATTCCAGTTGTATCACTGAAATCTATGTTGAAAAGAAAGAACAAACTTTTACAATTTCCTTGATAAAATGAAATAATACAGACTTCTGCAGAGATGTATTTAAGCTTTTATTTTTTGTCTATGAGGGTAGATTGTGTACACTGGTGAAAGAGAACTTGAAATCAAAGGCAGCTAGCTTCTTGCACTGGAGAAAGCTGAATGACTTACATAATTTTAAAGAAATACTGCATATATAGACAAGTAATTGATTTGATTTTCAATTTTATCCTATTATTAAATTGGCGTTAACTGGCAAAACATACTTTAGAAATTATATTTAAGCTGATGAAGTTCTAAGGTTCAGATGACAGAACCTTTGGGCAAAATTAATCCACAAAACCTAAGATGAGCTCAGTAAAATCAATTTAGACATTTGCAAATCCAGAACTGGAAAGAACCAGATGTTTGATTTCTACTCAGTCCCTCTGTTCTGCAAGTATAACTGCATAAATATGGAATAGTAACAGGCTTGTAAGGCTGTTGCTTGATCTCAACATGTATTTGTAAAAACATGGAAGCATCATTTCCCCCATTTTGCAGGTAGGAGACAGAAATGCAGAAATTCGGGTTTTGAGAAAATACATAATGGGTCAGGTCTACACTGCATGGATACAGTAGTATGTATCAATAGCACAGGAAACAAGAGAAAAGTGGGAAAGAGGAGGATGGTAATGTTTGGGACTCAGTGTTCTAGCTAGTTCTGCTGCTGTAAATATGTATAAATAACATTTTTTTAGAGAATATTGTTGCACCTTTTTTATAAACCTTCAGAATTTTTTTTATATAGTGTATGTAGTATTTAAAAAAAAACAAAACAAACAAAAAACAAAAACACGTTTAGCTTGCTTGTGTTCACGTGGTTCCTATGAATTTGGATTCCTTTGAGACATCCCAAAGAAATGCAGCAGGATGTCTTTTCTCAAGATTTTTTTTTTCTTTGTTGTCAGTACAGCATGAGAGGTTAAAATGAATGCTAAGGCAGAGGTTGTAATAGATTATGTGCACCCACTGCTTGGACAGAAGTATCCAGGTCTAGAAAAATTTCGGTTTACCCAATATTTCTAAACCACTCTTTGGAAAAGGTTAACATTATATTTGTATACTAAATGGGAATGGGTGTATTCAGAATTGTTGATACTTTGATTCACATTCTCAATTTGGGTAGTATTTAGGAGCAGCAAATAGAGTTTTCAAATGAGAAAAACTTGTCAATATTTTAAATGTTCGATATTTGAGTAAAACTTTAACAGTGGAATGCCTCTGTTAGATCAAGTAACATTAAAGCAGAATAAAGGCAGTTTTCAGTATTTTTACACCATATTCAGATACTGCTTCTGTAACAAATTGTGTCCCTTTTTAACTGAATGTCACAAAAAATTGTTTAGAATATTAGCTACAGCTCTAATTTTCAAATTAAAAAGCTTCTCCCTAAATATTTGTTGTCTTGAACTTTCAGAACATGGCTAATGAAAATGGGGGCACACTACTGTAATTTTGTGTAATTTTTCTCCCATTACAGTCTCTGCAACTAGATAGTACTTCTAACCAAGATAGACCATAATTGCTGAAAACATCCTTACTGTGACAGCTCCACAGCATATTAATGTTCTTTTCTTCCTGTAGATCCCGCTTTAATAATAGATCTTTTCCATTTAAATTGTAATTTTTCTTTCTTTCAACCACTTTTTCCTTTGTTCTGAATGAACACGTGACTTTTCTCCCAGGATCTGTTTTAAGACATTAGGGTTTTATAGGGACATTATCATTCAGTATTATGGTTTGCTTAGAGGTTAACAACCTTTCAAGGGTGTTATGCACAACGGTGTTATTCTTTCAGAACGTAGAGACTGAGGGTGCCAGTGGAAACTTGCTGATAATTGGGAGATGCTGCTGATTGGAGGTACCTTGTTTTCTTATACAGCAATTGTTCCTGGGTTCCATTAAGTGAACCCAGCAAGAGACAGGAGTTGGAGCCAGAGTGGAAAACAAATGCGCCTCTGAAGATGCCACGGGTTCCAGTGCCTTGCTCTGCGCTGGCCCAGCCTGCATGCCGTTCAAAATCTGCACATGTGCTATCTTTGGATCTGGTGCCATAAATTGCTAACCCAATCTGTAGTAGTCCATCAAAACCAGATGGGATAAGTCATTTCTAACTTTGAGGATTCATATAATTTTTGGTTAAAAAAAAAAAAAAAAAAAGGATCCGGGAATACTAATTAGTTACTGTTTGTTCTCTTCTTTTCCTGCTTCCCCCCCTACCCCCACACAGCGCCTTTGATTTTCCTGTTTTTTTCTTGTGGTTTCTTCATCTCTTTTCTGTGTTATCACCCTTCTTGCCTCCTCTTATATTGGATGAGCCAGCAATTACAGAATAATTCTTTCAGCCAGGAACAAGCTGCACAGTAGAAGCAGCAACCATCACAGCAGTTGACCTAGTACATTATGCACATTTGCCTTGTAGTTTATTACTTCTGTACTGTCAGTGAGTTGTAGTCAAAGATGCACCCTGAGTGAGCTCTCGATTAGAGACTATGGCATGATGTTTAAGAAGTCACAGTCAGATGAAAATACTGATAATAACATTAATTTTTTATCTTGACGATTTCCGATATAGAATGTAAGGCCAAAACACTTAAAGTGATATAAATGCATTACATTCTGTTATATATATTGTTGTTCTTGATGCATAGTCTCCTGCTTCTTCCATGGCAGTGACCATGAAGAGCGCTTCATATGTCTGACTATTTTTCTTTTTTTTTTAGTCTTTTGCTTTCTGTTGTATTCATTTCGGATGAAATACTGTTAAAATTTTAGATTCATGGATCAAGATAATATTGCCTCTATCTCTTGGGCTGTGCTCCACTTAAACTGATTCTGCTGGAGTAAAATTAAGATTTTTATATTCTTTTGCAAAGAAAAGTTCCTTAACATACAGTATTTTGATAAAAGTCGTTTTCACTATATACCAATGTTCTTGCTCTTTTCCCCACGCCTTTTCCCAAATACTTCACCTAAGATTTGAGTTGTCTGCTGTTTTGGCTTTGGTACATGTACAGAAGAGATGTCGGGCAGTCTCGGGCTGAGTGGTAGCCCAACTCCCCGTCTTATGATCCTCCTCGCTGGGTCAAGGTGTGTGTTAGGAGGGTCAGCTTCAGTGTGCACGGGCAGACTGGACCCTTCCTGGCTGCCTTAGGTTTGCTGTGCATGCATTGAGCAGCCCTCCTGTGCCTTCACAGTTGCCCATGCTTTCCCTCAGAAGCACTCAATTTTACTCTGCGCATACAATATGTTCATTCTAGGCAGTTCCTGTGGGCACTGCAGAAGAGGTTGAGAGGCCACTGCGGCTCAGCCCCAGCTGCTGCTGCCACCAGGGCATTTTACATAGTTCACATTATGCTATTATATTGGAAGAGATAGGCCAAGAGTGCTGGGTGAAGATTGGAAAGCTGTGGTAGCAGGCTGTCTATAGACGGCAGTTTCTGTAGCCGCTGTTAGTTCAAAGTTATTCAGCAGGCTCATCCATTCACAAACGTCAAGCTGTTCAGAATTATCAACTTCAGTCAGAGAAGTGCATTTTCCTGAGGTGTCTAATGACATCCTCAAATGAGCTGAGGAAAGATTATCCCTGGAGCTATGGAAAAAGTTTCAGTAATCTTTACTGCGTCCTAATATAGTTGGTAAGAGTTGTAACATATTTAACGGGCAAGTTTAAATATTATTTCTATATATATGTGTACACACTTTATTTCTGTTAAGTCTGGCAACATGGCTTCAACCAAGTAACCTATTTTTCTATCATACAGGATGCAGACACCTCCCCTCCCCACACAGAGTTAACTTAAATGAGTCATAGTGTAGTCGCTTCTGCTACTTGTCTCATTTAAGGGACAGATGTATGCAATGGCATTAATAGGCAATTTTCTACTAGTATGTTTAATTTTATCATTTTCATTTCTCAGGATGTGATCTTCATGGTGAGCTGGTGGGAAAACTGAGTTGTAAATCACCCCAATGGATGCAGACAGTGATGTTGCATTGGACATTTTAATCACAAATGTAGTGTGTGTTTTTAGAACAAGATGTCATTTAAACTTGAGGAAGATCGCATTAGAGGGAGCAAATGTTATATACAAGCGTGATGTTGGGGTAAGAGATTCAACATACCTTGGTTATCTGGTTTTATGAATTTTCCTTAAGCTAAACATTCTTGTGTGTGATACATAGAGAAAAGCATAGCTTTATTTCTGTATTTCTGTCTTGATAGGCTTTTAGTCTGTCATACACTAAACATACAGTAAGGGGGGGTAAATAAAAAAAGAAGTAAAGGGGTAAATATTGTCTCAGAAGACACTGACTAGTGAGGTGAATACTGGGTATAAGGTATGTGGTGAGACTTCTTACACCTTAGGGTCTATTTTGCCTCTCAAAATTTGATGGTTTTGTCAAGAAAATATATCCTGATGAGGTGTCGGCAACATGAAAGTCACTGTGATAAGAAAAAAATTAGAACAATTCTTGTGGCTTTCAGCTTTTTATTCAGAGGAAAATACCTTCATTTCATCTGTTTTGTAAACACTGAATCACTGGCTGAGATATTCCATGCTTATTTTGCTCTTCTCCAGAGCTGTTTTGGTTTTTTTTTTTAACTACTGAAAAAGATGAAAGAACAGTTCAAGGCTATAAAAAATAAAGGAAGTATGAGTGTAACAGTTGATTTGTATAACAGTTGATTTTTTTTTTTTTCCAGTATGAAATGGAACTATCACTAATTCCTAATTCTTCCATTTTTATTTTTCTTTTTAGAAAGTATTAATGAAGCTTAGGAAGCCTAGGATTACGGCCACAATTTGGTCCTCAGGAAAAGTTATTTGCACAGGAGCCACAAGGTAAGTTCACGAAGATTCTTTCTCTAGCTGTAAATTCTCGTATCTTTTAAAACATAATGTTGTAAGTGAAGATGGCAAGAGGCAGTACTTGCCACTGTCAAGATTCACTCACCCTGGATCACATGTAGATCCTTGCCAAGCTGTGTATTTGGGAGGAAGTTTCCTATGTGAAGTGGCTGCCTCAGACTGAGTTGAAATCTTCAGCAACATCAGTTCAGCCTTCTGGGAGAGCAGCAGGGAAAACTACTTTATGAAGAAAATCCTAGAGATTTTGTTTGAGAACTATTTAAGAATTCTGTATTTTTAGCCAGGACTTGAAATTTGGGAAATGGTGACCTCTTCTGAGGAATATCTCTTACACTTTCCTGAAAACCCACCTGAATTTAATCAAGTTATACAGTGTTGAGGGACTAGGAAGAAGCAAAAGCCTACTTGCTGTTCAGATACATCTGAGATTTGCTAAAGTCTTAACAGCTGAATTCCTTTAAGATTTGTCTGCATTATGGAGTAAGAATAAGTTACGACTGTAAATTTGCATACTTTCTGTGTATCATCTCTGTCTCTAAATAGAAAATTATTAACTCTGGACTACCATGATCATATTTGTCTCTTAAGTGTATTTAGGGTCATGTATGATCAGAATATGTCTCCTGCTTCACTTGAAGCCAAGTGCCAAAGTATTCTTCAAACAGGGGATAAAGGACTCCATTTTAACTATCTAGATATTCAAATGTAATACATACAGTAGGATAAAATGAAGGCTGTCCATGTGATCATGGTTCATGTGCTACATCATGAAATGGTTTATTTTATAGTCTGAGTAGCTGTTGTGGTATGTGTGCACACAAATATATACTCTGTTTCTGTTAATGCTAGATTCTTTTCTTTCTCCTTACAGTGAAGAAGAAGCTAAATTTGGTGCCAGACGATTAGCTCGTAGTCTACAGAAACTAGGTTTTCAGGTAATTCTGATGAAAAAGACTTGTATGACTCAACCAATGCCTGGTAGTCCCTTTTTTTGCAAGAAACAAAAACGAGAGAGCATAACAATTTAGCAGTGAGCGTGTTTTCACTCGGATGCCCCTTTTGTGTCAGCATACGCTTTCCAGATGCTGGTTAAAGAGAAGCTGTTTTATTTTGTGGATTTGAGTTTCATTTAGCAGCTGAGAGTAGTGCTTCTTCACTGGCTAATGAACAACAAAATTTGTTTAATAAATGAACCACCCACAGACGTTTCTTGGATAGAATTTACAGTATCTTGAAAGATTTTATTTGGAAGGAGTGCTAAAGAGTATGAACCTAACTCTCATTTCAACATAAGTTTTCCTCATTTCTGATGGAATAGCAGATACATATCCGTCTTGTTAAGGGCAAATTTGAGCCTCTTTAATTAAAAAGAGGGGTAAAAAAAGTGCTTCTGTGCTGTTAGGTTGTCCAGTGGGAAGTAAGCCAAATAAAATACTTAGGACATGACACCTCTCTTTTTTTCTGGGTTTGGGTTAACATTACTAGTCAAAACCACCATTTGCATTTCATAGCAAAGGTTGAAAAGCAGCAACGTGAATGATTTAAAATGACATGTTTTAGTACTCTAAAACTTCCTGTTAGTCAGTTGTAATGTTTGCCCACAGTTTCAGTTTACGGACAGACACGGTGGCTGCCCTTTGGCAGGGAAAGGCTACCTTTGATTCTAGTACATAAAGGTAGTGGTGATAGGCTATCCTGGTAATGCTGTATCAGAGCCAAGCAGAAGTTAAAACACTCTTACTGTTAGGAATGCATACATTAGACCTAGCCTCTTAAACCTGGACTGGAACATTAGATCAGTGAGGTGAACAGTGCTTCCATGGTGGATGCACCAAGTTTTATAACAAAAGTGAGCAGTTTATGTGGAATGTATTTTGAAGGTTAAATTGGTAGTTGACCTTTCATAAGGAGAAGTTGCTTCTACTGGTAGTATCCTTCTAAAAAGTTTTGACTGAGGAATGGTCATTTAAGTTCAGGCAATCTCGGAAAATGATATAAAGTTTCTTCAGTGATGTTGCCAACACTGACTTCTCAGCAGGGCATTTGTTTGCTTAGGAATTGTCTGTTGGCTATTTTGTTGTCATCTAAAATATCTGTGGTAAAGAATAACTGAAAGCCAGTAGTTTCAGCTGGGTTTCAGAAAGTGACAGAGTAGAGAAACAGCTTGCCATACTGGCCAGTGGAGATTCAAAACAAAACAAGCTTCACCTTTTTTTTTTTGTCTTATCTTTAATAAAAATGGTGTATAGCAGCAAGGCATTAAAGAAGTTTTCAGATTGTGTAAGATTGTTCTAACAATGAAATTTGAGCTTTTAATCTGTTTATTTTTATGTTTCATGAGCTATTTACTTTAGTCTATTTTCAGTTTGGTGGTGTTTAGTACGGCAACATGAGTTGTTTCTGTGTCTCACTCCTAAGCTTTACAATAGCCATGTAATACTACTGTGAAGTATTTAGTTCAACAGTTACTGTACCATAGAAGGATAAAGTGATTTGAGTCCTTTGAGTACTGTTTAGTTTCCTATTAGAAATGCATGAATCCCAAGGTTTTCATTTTGAAATCTCATCAAAATATTCTAATTAATATTCTTTTTTTCTCAACCCATACATCTGCCTTGCTGTAAACTGAATTTGTAATGGCTTTTTTCCCCTCTCTTTTGAAAAGGTAATTTTCACAGATTTTAAAGTTGTGAATGTTTTAGCAGTGTGCAACATGCCCTTTGAGATCAGATTGCCAGAATTTACGAAGAATAACAGACCTCATGCGAGGTACGGTAGAATTTTAAAGAATTATAGTCTTGGTATACTTCTTAAAATTTTCTTTTTCGGTTCTAGATCTGTCTTTTTTACCTTTTATTTTGTTTTCTAGTTATGAACCAGAACTTCATCCTGCCGTGTGTTACAGAATAAAAACTCTCAGAGCTACCTTACAGATTTTTTCCACAGGCAGTATCACAGTTACAGGTATTTTGATGTCAAAAATAAATATTTAACTTGTTGGGAATATTTAACTTTAGGGCCGGTAGGTTTAGGAAAGGAAGATGGTTAAAACAGTCAAAAGATACGTTGAAGGGATTTTGTTTACCAGTGCTAGCACCTAGTTTGGTTTTGAGTGAAAGTGCCACAAGAATATTAGAGAAAGTGTTATTATTGGTAGGCTCAAAAATTACTTTGAATGTACATAGACTGTTTTTTTAATAAAACCAAAATTAAGATAGGACTTGAGAATACAGGTATTTATTTAAATATTTGGATTTTGTTCCTTTTTTTTCATAGTCCTTTAAACTACACTGCATGTAGCATTAACGTCCCTTTCATAAATACAATGTTGCCAAACTGGAGATTTATGGAAACTTGTATCATAGTACAGCATTTTGTCATAACTGAAGTTTACCAATACTTGCAGTTTTTCAGACTTGTACCTTCTTCTCTTAAAGCTCTGCTGAGAGAGAACTACCACCTGAATCAGAGGCATCAGTGATTTTTCCCATGTAATCAGAGACATGATAGTCCTGGGTCTTGGAGATGCCGTGCCATGTTTTTTCCTCTTTCTTAGTAATTTTAATTTTCCATTCTTTGTTATGTTAGCTTTTGAGGTGTTCACCACAGGTTTCCAGATCTAAGAAGTCCATTTTTCTTAGAGAATACCTTCTAAAATGGTACAGAACCTAAAAACATCACTTTATATCACATCTGTGGGAGTTCTGTCTTGCAGTTGTTAGAGCTTAGCTACTGGTTCAGAAGTTCAGTAGGGATTTTTTAAAGCCTAGGTATTTGTTAAGGAATTATGGGGAACTTTTCTCACAAGATATCAGGAGCAGTGTTTTTTAAAGAAGACAAACTCCATCAGATTTAGTAATTTGAAAATAGAGGGCTAAAAATTATTTCAAGATTGCAATATATGTTCTGAACAGAGCAACTGGTCTAGCCAAAACTAGAAACTAAATTCAAAATAAAGAAGTAGCTTGAGTATCACTGCAATAATAAAAGGCTCTCAGAGTGTCTTGTCAGCCTCCTAATGAGACTGAGCCTTTCTTTGAGATTCTTAATACCCCATATATGGGACAAAATCACTTTCATATTTCCAGAATTGTCCTTTCAAATATGAAGGCAAATATAGTAAACATCAAACTTTTACTTCCTTCTGGATTACTTGTTACAGGGTTTTTGAAATATTTCAGACCTGTTTGTTTTGAAGGCTTCTGTTTTGCCTAGGCCTTTCTTCTAGGGGAAAAAAAGTGTTCACTGCCTTACACTTCTTGTTCTAAAAATGTTTTAAATTACTTTTCAACCTTACTGTACTCCCTCTCAAGTGCATTCAGATGAGGTTCCTTTTGACCATTCATGTTTCTGTAGAACTAGTACTTGACATGCCACTAACTCATATTTGAGATACATAATTAGAAATGTTACTAAAAAAAAGAAAGGTTTTTTTTAAATGGGACAAGTCTAAAAAGATTTAGAGTTACACTGAGAAAAGATAATAAAAATAACTGATATGTGGTAGGAAGAAGTATTAATTTTCTTCCTCCAAAATGAGCGATGAGGGGGTTGTTTGGGGCGGGGGTGTGTTTTGTTTTTCTTTTGTTTTTCTTCTCTTATATTCCCTGCAATGACGATCCACTTTTTTACATCTCTTCAACCCTACAGGGAGTAACATTTTTTAACAAGAATTTTTGTCTACTCATATTCTCACTTTCTGAAGGCTTTCTCTAGAACTTGCATTTCTATAATAGCAGACAAATTTAAGGAAGATGTAGTATCTGACCCGAAGGCAGGTATCTCACTAGGCTTGTTTTAGATGAGTGCTTAACCAACTTGAAAGGTTTGAAAATACAGGAAGAATCCATTTCACTTTCTTTCTGACTCAGTGTGTAAATTAAAAGAGTATTTCCATAATTTCTCAATGAGGTAATTCGTAACAAGTTATTTATGATTTTTGGGAACCATTTTGAACAGTTCTTTAGACTTTAAAAGTTTCTTCCAAGTATAAAGTGAGGTAAAAAATAACCTCTGAGTTCAAATAACCCCTGAGTTCACAGTCACTAAAGCATGTGAGAAATTGCTGTTTTCATTTATCTGCATCACCAAACTTTATCCAGGATAAATTTCTTCTGGCATGCTACTGCTCATTTATTTGTTGTCTTGATTGTTCATTACATAAAATGATCTAGTACCATTAGAAGGCATTGCTAGTTCATTCTACCTTTTTCCCCAGTGCTCATAGATCATGTTAGATAACCTTCATATTCTTCATCCTAAGACAATAAGCATTCCTTGGCTTGCAGGTTGTGTCCTGAGATCAGTGGTAGAACTATTTGCAAATTCCAGACTGGAAAGAAATAATCTATAATTTTCAAATATAAAATAACCTTGCTTTGGTTAAATCCAGCATTATTTAGCAGTAGTTTTTGTTGGTAGGTTTTTAAACGAAGAGATAAAAATGGCTAGGCTTTGAGTAATACAGATTCCTAAAAGATTAGCATAATTAGAACTATTTCTTTTACCTCTGCCACTGAGCCTCTGACGTCTTCTCTGGGGTGACTGCTTAAGCCAGTAAATCAAAAAGCACCCCAGTTGTTATGAAATTAAACTACAGTATTTATGTAATTACAGTCTAGCTATTGACCCCAGTGTAGAACATGCTACAGATTTCATGTGAGAGTATCTTCTTGTAAGTAAAAGTGATCAGAGTAACACCTTCTTAAATTGGGACAAATGGAGGAGAAATTATTTCTGTATACAATACAAAGTTGTGGTAGCTAAAAATACTATTTTACAGATACTATTGTTTTAATTTCTGATTTTTCTATTCCTACTACTTTTTTTTTTTTAATATGTCTCAGGGCCAAACGTAAAAGCTGTTGCCAGTGCTGTGGAACAGATTTACCCATTCGTGTTTGAAAGCAGGAAATAAATTTTATAATTCACCACTTGATGGTTAGCTTTCCTAACCAAGCACCTTTAAAGACTGCTGCACATTGGACTAAAAGCAAAAAGGAAAACTGGACCAACCATAGCAGAAGAATACGGACTCTTTTACTTGCTCATGGCGACAGTATAAACTCCAGTTCTTTTGGATTTTACTCTTAACAGTGCTGTATTGTAAAAAAGGAAGTTTACAAGATATGAAATTGCTGCTTTTAAAAAGACATTCTATTTATTTTTGCAGTAATTTCTGTGTATTCATAAGCAAAGCTGTCACGATGTGCACTACCTTTAAAACATTATTTTTCTTTTTTTAGTTTGAGCTTGTGTTTTATTTGTCTTTTACATTTTTGTATGCTGAATATTGGGCACCAAAGAAGCTGTAAAAGTTATCTTTTTCACCTGATGAATGTGCACAAATAAAAGTTTGGAAAATATTTCTCTTCATACCTGTTCTGTTATATTCCTTTCCCTTTTTCTATTACAGTTAAAATTGTATAGTTGCAAATTAATTCGAAACAATGTAAGAATAGTCTTTTGCTGATACCTTCTGTTTCTATTTGTAGTATGTGTAAAACTTTGTGCGTGGGTTAGATTGAAATCTATAGTAGTTACAGATGTTTATCTGAGGGTGAAATTTGGTTTGTTCCCATTTCTCTTAACTACATGCCAGACTTCAAGTATTTTCTTGCTGTTACGTGAAGAGAAGACATTTCTAAATGTAAAGGTCTACAGCAAGTGCTTTCCTGTAGATGATGAGAAAATCTTATCAACTAAAGAAGCTACTGTAGAAAAATCAACTGCCTTGTCCACCTACTGGATGCAAAAGGAAAAAATTTACTATGTGAGCTTCAGTTTACAGGAAAGTGGTGTTGTGCTTCAACTTGAGAAGATGGTATGGTCACGCTAATCCAGCCCCAGCCTATTGCTGAATGGTTAACACAGACCTTTTCTACACTCTTCTTACTGTATAATAGTTTCATGACAGGAGCTGCCAACAAGCAATGAAGCTTGATTCGGGCATGTGTTATTATTGGTATTAATCTTGGACTTGGAAGCCAGTAGATGTTTCTCTCAATAAGTGCACATTTGAAGCAAAAGAGAGGTGAATGCTTAAAAGTAACTGCAAATGCTACTTTTAAAAAGATACAATAAATATGTATAAATGTATGTATGTCTTATTTCCCTATCTCACTGAAGAGAAATGTAATGCTACTATTGTGTGCTGCAGGTAATACGCAATCTTAGTGGGCGCTAAAAATAGTAAACCATGAGCTGTTACTGCACCAGAAGTCACAGCTGCAAAAGAAAGATGGAAGAACGTCCTTCAAAAAACAAATGCCTAGCATAATGTATTTAATCTATCTGAGGGGATGCTTTAGAAGTTGGGGCTGCCTCTATTGACTTTATTTAATTGTGGAAAGGAAGGAGTCGTCTGGGAAATGCTTAACCAAACCCCTCAGAACAAAAAGAAAGAAGCAACAATTTGCCACAAGCCTTATGCAATACATTCATAGAAGTCCTTTCAAGCTCAGTGTAGGTAGGAAAGAGGATTTATAGTCACAAAGTTCCTGAGTTCAGCAGTCATGGAATTCGTGATAAAGAGCAGAGAAAGATCTTTATATGCAAGAAAAATGTTATATATGCAAGCTTCCCATTTTGTGAAGAAGATAGTGTAGACTTCAGCACTCCTGACACTAATGAGGATTTTGTGAAAAGTCATAGGGAGCAATGGACAAACCACCACTGGGGAACACCAGTGTATTACAGTTACCATTTTAAAAAGAAAAAGCATAAGGTAACAACAATGAACAAAATTGTAATGGGTTTTCCAGGAACAAAGTAGTCCTAAACTGATGAATGAGTATTTGGCCATTATATCTTAGAATAGCTCTCAGATGAGGATTGTCTATTCTTTCTGTTGATCAAATTGCAAAGCACTTGAATGCCACTGGTGAACTTCTGGAGCTTTTATGAAGCATATGTGTCTCCTAAATTTATCTTATGGAGAAAGAGGAATGTTTTGCTTTTTTGTTAGCACTGTCACATAGTATGAAATCTGCCTGTTAGAACAAAAATGAAAAGTAATAATAAGCCGCAGTGTATTAAAAGGGGAACTGTTTCTTCTGAAGCATGGCTTATATCCATGCTAGTAGTTTGAGGACTTTGTTAACAATCCGTAAGGGAGGCGAAGAGCACACTGCTAAACTTGCAGCACAGTATTGAGGAGAGCAACAGCAAATAAAAGACTCCTTGAAATATATGCTCACCTAGCCTTCTAGCTCCAAAGGAGCCTCAAACTGTGACAAGTACCCTTTAAAAGCTCTGATGATGATGATGGGTATTTGGCAGTGTACTCATATACTCGGGGATATCACTTATTTCCCATCACTGCTCTAAATCAGTGGGTCCCCACCTCAGTCTGGACTAAGCCTTGCTGCTGCTGCTCATTTTTATGTGCATGCATGTACACAGACCCTTCTTCCCCATCCTCACAGATTAGTCTTTGTTTCCTTTGCCATGTTGTGCTGCCTCCACCGAGGTTCTCGCTATCAACTCTTGCAGTCATGATGTGGACCCTAGGCCAGACAGCATGCCCCAGCATCCTGGCTCTGGCCTCTGGTGTGAGGAGCAGTGCTTTGTATTAAATTCATCTGTTAATCAATCAGCTCTTCCTCAATGGCCATGTTTTCTAGAGCACTGTTCATCTGTCCCTGGATTCTCCGGGTGGATCCCATGCAAAACTGCACAGTGCTCAGCTGTGGCTGTAGCAGCACCATAAAAAGTTTAATTCACATTCCTTAGAAGGGTTGATTCTATTTATACAACCTACTAAGGGCTCCTTTTTTTCAGTAGAGTGATAACTCTGACTCATTGCTAGCTTGGGAGCTGTCATAGCCACTAGATCTTTTCCTGCATTTTCTAGTTCCATTTTACCATTCTCTGACTTGCAATTAGCGTTGCCAGAGAAACTTGCACTTACACTTTCAGAACTGTATCCTGCTTTTTTCAGACCCTTGTCACAAATTTCTGAAGCTCTGAATTCCAACCCAGTCTCTCCCAGTTTAGTATTGCCTGCAAATTTAATAAGCATATTCTATTCTGTCATCCGTCCATTAATGAAAATACTGAATAATTTTAGATCTGTGGCAAATTTTTTTGTGGAGTTCTTCAAAGATCCAGGGATGTGATTTCTAAGACATGTCCCTTTTTTCCCTTGTATTTTCATAGTTGATGAGGTTGTGACAGCCAGTTCTGCATCATCAGATGTGCAGGCTTTGTTATAAAAGATGAGTACAATTAGGGTTACATTTATAGGGCTATACAGGGCTAAGTCTGTAGGACTACAATTAAGACTTGTTATCATGATTTTAAAAGCCCTTGACTACAGCATCATCACCTTTTGGAGGTATTTGAAGCTATTACAGTCTCTATAGTTAAACCAGTGTTGAAAGTATGCCTTCTTCAGAAAGATGGTATTTTTATTTACTTGTTTCTGCACTAGATGTGCATGGAGAAAATTTAGAAGAGCTTGCAATGAACCCAAAACCTGTAAGGTGGGGAGACAATTTCTGTGGTATTTTCTGAGTTAAATTTATTTTTGTAAGAACTCTCACAAAATATATTACAGCAGAGTTTTTTTGGGGGGAAGATGTAGTGTTGAGAAAGATTTTGCAGAAGCCCCTTTCACTAAATGTGATGTAGTAAAAATTCTAAGCCGGTATGAGCTTGGGTTCCATGTGCAACTGTCAGCTATCTAGGGGCAACCACAGCCAATGGCAGGTAATCCACTACCTGGTAAAGTCACAGATCAGGAAATGGATGAATTTTCTGCTATGTAGTCTTTCTACAAATACATTATATTACTTGATTTAATCTCAGGCACTTTTTAGTATAATGATGTTGATAAACAGCATATGTGGAAGACTACCCAGAGTCACCTTAATATTTCTTCTAGAGCTGATATAGTAGAATGCATGATACTGGTAACTGTCCTCCAGCCGAAACATGAAACAAGTGGAGAGATTTCAGTAAAAATCAATGCTAAAAAACTGAGGAAGATACTAACATGCAGAAACCCAGAAAATGGTGGGTTCAGACTCTAGTTTTTGACAAGATCATTTCAGAAGCATTCAGAACTGATAGTAAAATTTGTAGGTTTTATAAAAAGAAAATATTACTGTTGATTTAAGAGAAAAGTTTTACAGTATTAACAGGTCCAGCCTGCAGCCCTTTGCTAGCACTTAAGTTTTTCTAGAACTTTTTCTTTACTTCAACAAATGCTTGCCAGGCTCCCAGATTTGACCCATACTCATTAGGCAACACATGGCACTGACCATGTATACCATATCTTATTATTCTTTCCATTTCAGTAATAGAAAGTGGTGTTTTCTCTAGCAAGGAAGCATTGTTATTTTTCAAAACTATTATTTGCTTGAGCATACTATGGTTTTAAAAAATGAAATTCAGGCTGTGTATCACAATGTGAACTGTGCCCAAACTGCAAAAATCAGGATGTTGAACTGAACATTCCAAATTAAAAAAAAAAAAACACCAAAAACCAAAACCACCATATCTTGTAGGTTTTGGCCACATTCTGGTTCTTAATTCCTCACACCTCCAAGTTAAATGTGAAAAATTAAGGTAAAAAAATTCAATCTTCCGTGCATGAAACATCTATGCTTAAAAACTTCATCTGTCCTTTTCCCCCCACCACCAGAGTCAATCTCTGACTTCACGTCCCCTCTGACTTCATGTGCCCTCTTCATCCATGGCTTCTCTCTCACCGCTTCAAAGCCAGCTCTCCAGCTCGCTCTATTTCACACGGCTATGAAGCTTTTATGTGTCTGAGCTCTAATGCATTTTGCATCCTTTTTCTGACTATTTGTAGAAGTTATAGGAATACTTTTTGCCAGTTCCTGCTGCTGCAGCACGGAGTAAACTGTTACTGCTTGGGTCAGGGAAGCACAAGAAGACTCTGCTATGGGCTCTCTCCCATGCAGAGGCAAGGGGACCTCTTCTCCTAGTCTCTTGTGACTGATATTTGAACTGTAGACCTCAAAATTCTAAGCAGATCTTCCAGTTTTTAGGGGAAAATTCCAAGTAATAGAAACCAAAGTTTTCCATGTCTGTGGAACACTTGGAAGCACCTGAGATCCACAGTGGAATTTTAGCTTGGGACAGGAACATGCTGATTCCCCATAGGGAATGAGAGCAAAAGGCTTTTAAGCTTACTGCTTCTGATGGGGCCTTTGGTCTGAGTCACCTACATCTCAGGTGCACAGTCCCACTGTGGGTGGATTGGTCTCTTGTTGTTTACAGACTATGTCAAAAAGGCTCATATGGACCCTTAGAAGAGGATTTTACTTAATCTTTGGTATGTTGTGTATGCCAAAAACTGCATCTTGCTGAGCCTGAAAGCTCTGTGGCACCCATGAGGTTATTGGGAGGACTGCTGGCTCTGGGATCAGGACAGAAAAATTAAGGCAGCCATAAACCGACCAGCTAGCCAGCGGCCTAGCAATTCAGAATTTCACTCGGTTTAGATGACATGGGATCCACATAGTTAAAAATCCTGCATTTTGATAAATACTTACCTGACCTTTGTACCAAAAGTCCAACAGGGTTTTGATATTGGTTCCCTTAAAGCTTATGATGCAGGAAAGTTTTGGTACAGATATGGCCAGTAGGTTCCCATTCTGAGGTAGATACATTTCCAGTGACTTCTGAGAAATCATGTCCTTGGCTTCAATAGGTTTTTTTCAGGTTTTGAACACATGCTCACTGTCTGAACAGACGTGCTTCTATAAGTTTACAGTGTCAGTATCTAGAAGTGTGACCATGAAAGAATATGATCAGAACTGATCTGCTCTGCTCAGAAGTAAAACTTTACCTAAATCACTAAGTCACTGTTCCTTCAGCGCAGGACACAGTCAGGTGGTTTTAATGCTACGGGATAGCAAATAAAGTGGGATCATGTGCTTAGTTCCAAGTAGTATCTGCACTCCAGCTGACAGTGTCAGTCTTGCTTCCTCAGTTAAATGCTGGAAGAAATGCTGCTGTGTGGCTGCTGAGACAGACTGCATGCTTTAAAGCATGCTGTTTTCTTTAAACAAAGAACCATTTATTTATCTGCTAATAAACACTTATCTACCAATCATTCTAACAAA